ACTAATAAGATCCTCCCTAGGCTAAATGATCTGCTTTTTCATCCTCAACATTCATCTCTCACTGGTATTCCGTTAGCGAGTACTGTTAGCGCAGGTGGAGTTGCTATTTCATTATCACCCGTTAAAAAAATGTACTAGGGTTAAAAGTGACATGTAAATTTTATTGCGAACTTTGTAATAGGCCCCCTAACACCCTTTCCTGTTTTTGAATTAAGAACACCTAATCGAATTAAATATAGAACTAGTTCAATCGATTCGATAACATATTTAATGTTTTTGCGTCTTTAGCAAGGTCAATTCCACCGAAAAATCTAGACGCTACAAAATATTTACATCCTTTCTCCACTGAAAAGCTAATAAAGCAACATACGAGTATACTCGGGTTTTCTCTTTTGGAAAACATCCAAATAGCGCGCCAGTGTATAGAGATCCGATGACAAAACGGTTTTTTGTGTCAAATAATGAATTGAGCGGATCTTTACGAGTTGGCTGTTTAAATAGGCCGTTGACCTTGATCGATTCAAATTGTATAGAGGTCGCCACGTGGCTTTATTGTTTACAAACATTTTAGTGTGTAATTGTCTTGACTTCGATCACAAACGTTATTTGACAATATTGATTACTTACTTAATAAAAGAGTGCCGCTATTATGAGAGGTAATATTGTAGAAAAATATAGTGTAAAACTAAGAATCTAGTGAGTTTCCCGGAATCTAACCGGTTTGGTAGATAAGGCTTTTTTTAATGGATGATAATAAAACTGCAACGCAAATGGCAAGAGAAGCACCAACTCATCCATGAAAAGATGATAAGTAAGGATTAAAGCAGGTCAGTTAACCCATTGTGACGAATTCGACAAGAATTAGTCAAGATAGTTTCCAGGGAGAAAAGTTTTGTTAGTAATAGGGATCTAACGGCCCCATTGCAGGCAATATACCCTAACAGGTCTACCTCCACGCGGTTTTCCCTGGAAACTATCGTGGTTAATCCTAGTGGAATTCGTCACGATGGGCTAACATGGGCTATGCTTTCATCGTCATTATCATCCCTAACTGCCAGCGTATACCGATAGAGCAGAGAGCAGGCGGGGTTACCATTCCATTATCACCCAATAAAAAAATAGCAGGCTCGAACAGGTATTGTCTATGTATGATATATATATATATATATATATATATATATATATATATATATATATATATATATATATATATATATATATATATATATACCAGTATTAAAACTGAACATATTTTTTAATGCTATCTATTCTCGTAAATGTCAGGAACATCAATAGGTGGTTAACCGTCGTAATGGGTAACGAACTATGCCCAACAGTGGGACGATAATGGGTTGTTATTATAAGGTTAACAAACTACCAAAGTCCACGCAATCAATAAAAGTCCCGTGATTGTGATGACTTGTGATCTGAAGACGTTCGCTCATTATCCAATTCGTAAAAAGAACACACAAAAATGGCGTCCGTCCAACGCGTGTCATTGCCACGCGGCAATCGTGTTTCTTAGAAGTACGTAAAGGAAAAAATTGCTTTCTTTGTTCACGGTCACTTTTTGTTTAATAGAAAGAAAAGTTTATTACGAAACTTTAATGAAACAATTACTTGAAATTGGCGACTTGCAGGCATATCTATCTTTTAAGAGAATTATTCTCATAGTAATTTCGTTATAGGATCTATGAAACAATAAATCTAATCTAACTTCTAAATCATGACAATCTAAATATACGGCAGTGGTTAACGTATATTTGGACATTTGTAAGGGAATCAAAATCTATAGCGTACTTTCTGATAACCTAGAATCATGCGAAAATGCGACAAGAGACAATGTCGTACAGCACGAGCAAACGGGAAAATCCGAAACCGTAAATTTGTACTTACATCACGAAACGAAAAATATTGTATTATATTATAAACGAAATATATATATATATATATATATATATATATATATATATATATATATATATATATATATATATATATATATATATATACTGTATAATATTTCTATAGTACACAATGGCAAAATGGCGGTACACGAGTCCTTTCGCAGTTGGCCGATTTTTTTTATTTATTACGATCGTACCTTTGACGCATTTCCTCGCCATTTGTATCACATTAATACTAATCTAACTGGCGTGACGTGAGGATATTATCGATGGTCCGGGATACGTCAACCACAATGTTTATGCCAAATTATTTCGCGACGATTGTAGTCGAGACGTGAAGGCGCCAACAGGAAACAAACGGTATCACTTTCACATGAAATGTCATCATGGCCGTAGATAGGAGAGGAGAGGGGCATAAAGGGCCAATGCCCTACCTTAAAAGACCCAATGCCCTACCTTAAAATGAAAGGCCCCAAGAAATTGAGGCAGATTCGCTTTTTCGATGTCACGTTATTATGACTTCTGCCCTACCTAAAACTTCTTTTGCCCTACCTTAAACATGGGTCTAGCTAGGGCCCTGAATATTATGTACTTATATATGTTCAACTATTAATATTTTATTTGTAGTTCAACTAACATAACATACCTAACATAGTTTCGTGCCTCCAGTCAAACTGTTTATAATTACTCTTCTCCATACAAAGATTGCATGGAAAAGATCGCTCTTAATGATAAGGCCGCCCATTGTTTTCTTAGTGTAATATTTTCTTGTAATTGTTTATATTTATAATAAGTTTACTATTGTAATCTTATGGAGGAAACAATAAAGAGTATCTATCTATCGATCTCTCTTATGTTCATGTAAATAAGCGAATAATTGTATTAAATTAACCAAACTATTAGACAGTTTGCTCATGTCCAATTAAAATATCAACTAATCCCCTTCTACAAGCATATTTTAATTATAATACTGTTTTATCACATTCTTTGAAATTGGAAATTTAGCTCAGCAGAAAGAGACAAAACATTGCAATAACTAAAATAAGTTTATGAGAGATTTGATGTTTTTATGAACAAAGGGATAAGTTGAAATGTAATGTTTGAATGCATCGATTCGTTATTAATTTAATTTAGAAAGTATCTCTATAAAAAGTTGACAAAAACTTGGTAACCTTTACATTAAGTTTTCAAACAAAACGATTTACAGTAAAGAAACATGAATTTCCCCACTTGTGGCGGCCAACATTTTGTATTGAGCAAAAATACAATAGGGATTTTATATGTTATCAAAAGCTTCACGACCGATCTAAAAATTACCATAAAATACCAAAAAAAAACGTTGTAAGTCTGCCAAAGAAACAAAGTTCCTTCAATTAAAATTAATCAAAGATTTTATGTACCAGACACTTTTTGATTTATTATATAAACATTAGTTTTATCTAATGGCGAAGCGACATCTATAACAGTATTGGGCAAATTGCCCGACACAACATGACCTCAATGGGCAATCTACATCATATTCAAATTTAATGCGTAGATTTTTTCTTAATATTTTCTTTTGCGTAATAGCAAACGTAGCAATTACGTTTATTTCTAAATTCGCTTTTGATTTGTTTCGTGGCGAAAAATATTTGCAAAAGACGTAATTGCGCTGGAGTCTCTTTATATTATATTATACGTTATTATATTGGCCGTGTGGTCCCCGCATAGAATAGGCCACCCCTTCCTTTCTCGTGGCTGTCGTAAGAGGCGACTAAGGGATGGCGATGGAGGGGCAGATTTAGTTTTTATATTAAACTAATTCGATTAGTAGGTATAATGACTATGTACAATTTCTCAATAATGGTAACGCATGAGGGAGGGGGGGAAAGGGATTGTTAGCAATGGAGGTTGACAGCCCCATTGCTAGCAATATGCCCTATTAGGTCGATCTCCCCGCGGTTCCTCCTGGAAACCATCGTGAACAGTTCTTGTTGAATTCGTCACGATGGGCTAACTGACCTATTTCATCCTCACCTAGCATCCTTCACTGGTGCCCCGCCGGTGTATACCGATAGCACGGGTGGGGTTACCATTCCATTATCATCCATTAAAAACGCATGAGGGATTCTATGGGCAAGATGGTGTATTCTGTAATATCTGAAACACTGCTCATGTCTATAGGCGACGGTTACCACTTTCCATCAGGCGGGCCGTCAGCTTGTTTGCCATTTTCTTCTTCTTATTTAAAAGTTTCCTCTTATCGGTGCAACTAATTCATGTATTCTCTTCCAGCCATATCCCAGGCCATATCTTTGACCTCCCTATACAGCATGACACTAAATGTTTCCTTTATCTGTCCCATGTAGTTATTTCTCGGTCTTCCCATCCCTCTTTTGTCTTCTATTTTTCCTACTAGTATGCTCTTTAAATAATCGTAACGTTCTATATACATAAATATTCATTCATTCATTATAAAGTGGCCCAACATTTTGCCTCATCTATTTTCTATTGCAGTTTGTCTTTTTAACTGCCATAAAAAAAAAATAAAAAAAAAAAACTTTATACAAAGATACTCAGAAACAACTAACGAACTCCAACTTTAATACAGAAATAGAGGTGAATCGCATGAAGTAAAAAAGTGTATGACACTGAAAATGAAGGTGAATGACTCCTCTAATTAGACGTACTATTTAAGAGGATTAGTTCAGAAAACCTACACGGATTAGTCATTTATCCAAGACCGCAGTCATCTGTAACGATTTGGCAAAGAAATCTGGCGTTTACAAGTTTTTACCTCACTTACCTAATAGGTTGCTCTTTACCTAATTTTGAAATTTTTTAACTGGTGGCTGGATTATGTATATTCAACAGTAAATTCTTAAAAAGGTCATCATCATCATCTGATGATGATTCATATCAGCTGTTAACTGCCCACCGCTAAATATAGGCCTCTCCTTTAAAAGGATAACTTACCAAAATTATGAAAATATTAAATTTTCCAAAACAGAGTAAATTGGTACAAGATCAAGTCAAAGTTATTTAGAAGTGGATTTTGACCACATCTTTTTTATGGAATTAGTATGTTTAAAGACTTTTAACATTTTTTTCCAGGTACAATGCCTTCTGAAGTGATCTCGGAAAAGTCCCTCCAGAGGGAGCTGGCTGATTCCATCATACGCATGGTGCCACTGGACGAGATAAGAATACTCCTGGCTTGTGGAGCCAAGGTAATTCTGCCTACTGTATAAGAATTGTGGATAGTAATAATAATAATCTGATCTAATATTATTGTTATATTGCACCTTATCAGAGACTAGTGAACCGGCCCGGGTTCGCTTGAGTAGATAAAATTTTCGTAGCTTTTTATAGGTGAAAACCTTTTTAAAATCGATTGAGTACTTTTTTAGCTTATCCATTATAAACCAACAATCCGTTAGTTAGCCACAGGGTCGCAGCCAAGAATGGGTTTTTTCTCCCCTTCCCTTCATATGAGGCGATATGTCATAAAAGGCGTCTAAAGGAACTTAAAGGAAATGAATAGTTGAGGGATGGGCAGCAGCATCCCTGGTAAAACATCATCAAAGCCTAACAGTGGTTGTAACCACTGGTAAAACACCCTAATGCCAAGTATGGGAATGGGAAGTACTAGAGACAGTCTATGGGCGAGGTCTATGTTCAGCAGTGGACATTTAACGACTAATATGGTAATGGTAATAATAATAACTACTTTAGCTGATCAAAGTGTGGCACCGTCACAAATGTCTGTGAATTTTCAAAAACAATTTAATTATTTTCAATGTTTCTGATTGTTTACTTAAAAAATGATCTGTTAGCGAATTAAAACGTTAACCATGCAATAATATTCTTATGAAGCTACCACTGAAAATTTGGATTTTTAGGGAAAAAATGTAATAAATTTTGACTATAATCAATCTAATTACACAACGTGTTCCAGGTAAATGAGCCAGTCACTCAAGGTCTCAGGCCGCTGCACTACGCGATCTGGCAGCGATACTTGGAAGCGACCAGGCTGTTGCTGGTCAGAGGATGTGACGTCAACGCCAGGGACGACTGCGGGTACAGCGCACTCCATCTGTCCGCCGAACACGGGTCAGTATCTGTACAAAAAGAAGCTGATTCATTTAGTAACTATCAACTCCATTCTAGTAGGGCAGTGGTGGACTAAACCCATCAAAGGCCCGGAACGCAAATCTGAATGAGACCTCCAGTTTAAGAAGTTAATGTAATTTTATAAGCTTTTTATTTAGTTCACATTTGTACATATTAGATTGAACTAAAATTAACACACATAAAATGTGGATATGGATGAGGAAAATAGAGGTGTTTGGTGACCCTCCAAGACCAGAACAATGATCAATTGACATCCCATGTTACTAGAGCTAGGAGACGAAAATTTTGGACCTAAGTTTCTTATCATAACACATGCAGAAGGAAAGTTATTTTTAAGCATAAGAACTTACTTACTATTGTATGATCTATGATTTCCGTCTTATTTTTTATGTCTTTAGGTGAATAGTTACAGTTTTTTTTTTTTTTAATGTAATAACCACCGGTTTAACTTTCATGTATATTAGTTGAAAAAGCTCAATTAGTTTTGGGACCAATATTAGATCTAATAGTTAGACCGTCAGCTTGTTTTCCATTTCTATAAGTTGCAGAAAAAAATATATTGACGACGTCTGTGGTTCAGAAGTAGGCACATTGCTTTGCATTAATTATCTCGCGGGTTCGACTACAGTCAAGTCGTGTCAATTCATGAAACTAACTACCTATTCTGTATTCACTCAGGTCTGGATATGCTGGGTTATCCTCCCAGGTATTAGTTATCTAGTTTCTCATGAGTCAGGATATTTTAGATTTAAGACCAAGCAAAAAATTGAAGTGATTCTGTGGCACTTATTTTATCTTTGCTTTCCTTCAGCTATACAGAACTGGTCAAGTTGCTCCTGGAGAGCGGAGCAGCGGTCGATTACAGACCTGACACTGGTGAGGAGTTCCCGCGGACTACGCTTTGCGACGAGCCCCTCAGATTGGCTATAAGGAACAAACATTATGTACGTTCTTCTATCCATATCATTTTAATGAGGCACATAGCAAAGCCCGATTTCTCAACTTTTGAATGGTTCAACGGCGAAAAGGTTGCTTTCCCAAAAGTGCCACAAAAAACAGTTCTCAGCCACTTTTTGCAATATTTGTAGTTCTAATTCTATCTTGTAAGAAGGATGTCTTACACAATACGTTTGCTAATGTCTTCACTCGAGAAATATTCGCTTCCATCTTAGCACTTCAAGCTATATAGTTCACTGGAAGTCTATAAAATCCTACTCTTATCACTTAAGCGTTTATTATCTACGAATAAGTAATTTATAGACGAGAGAAATTAATTATTAAATTTTTTCAGGATGTGGCTCGTCTTCTATTAGAACATGGTGCTGATCCCAACAAGCGGTACTTCTTCGGCTCCGAGATCAATCTGGTCTCAGATCCTGAGTATTTGGAGCTATTGCTGACGTTCGGAGCTAATCCTGACTCTAGAGATCGTGCTGGTTTAACCCCATTAATGAAGGCAGCCAGACAACGAAAGGTAACTGAGGGAAAAGACATTAATTTAATCTCCAGGCATGAGAACGCCAGAATGTCGCTACAATAGTGGTGCAGTATATATTAAAACACCCATGATAGTTCATACCAAAAGCCGAAAACCACCTTTTCTATGAGGTGAACCATGATTATTTCCTAATGATTTTGAAGGAACAAAATAGATATCTTACTTTGCGGACCTAGAATGGTCCTGGAATACGAGTTTCGGTTGGGTCAATTTAAGAAGTGTTCATCGATTCAATTTTTGCCGTGGGATTATAAAAAGTGTATCTGTTTTATATTAAATATATGTTGATGATATTATTATTGTAATTTATTGTAATTGGTAAGAGCATTATGATTATTTCGTAGTCGTTCACCCAGGGAATGGATGCTGTTCTCCTGCTGATCAGCTACGGTGCCGATGTAAACGCGATGGCGGATGCCAGGAACGACTACAGAACTGTGATGCACTACGCTGTACTCAGTGGTAAGTTCTAGAAGCCGTAGCGTCATATGCCTATTCCAAATTCTGAAGCAATGCATGAAGTTGGTGTAAAGCTTTTAGAGGTAAATTATATGCAACGTATGAAAACTGCCTTTTAAATAATCAATTAGAAACTGAAACAAATGATAAATTGTTTTTGAAAGTTGACAGATAATTGCGACATTGCTATACTTTGGTAAGCTAAAGTAACCCTTGACATATTGCTTTATCACCTAATGATCCCAGGTTCGATTTTCGTATAATAAAATATTTATATTCATAAGCATCAGATTTACTTGTGTAGGTTCCGATAATTTTCTGAGTACTTTATGAGGATATGTTAAATCCATAATGTAAACAAATATTCTGGGTAATTCTACTTATTTGAAATATTTATTTCAGGTAATACAGAAGTGGTGAATTTGATGATCAAACAAGGTGCTCGCGTCAACTACGAGTGTCCAGAACTGAGCAAGCCCAGTCCTCTAGACCTGGCTATACTCAAGGGAGACGTGCCTATGGTGCAGATGCTGTTAGCAGCTGGTAAGTTTGCCAATGGAAACGAGCTGTATGAGTCTCCTGGGAACTTTTTAGCATATGAAGTCACAAACAAGCTTATGAACTTACTTAAAAAACAATACTATGTGATAATGATATTAATAGGCTCTTGGACATTACAGAATCATGAAATCAATGTGTCCATGGTTTTTCTCTTCCCTGAAGATTTTCTTGTTATACCTCTATATCTGGTACATCTGTTTGATCTGAAAGCTAAGAGAAAGACCAGTGCAAATGAGTCTCTAACAGAAGAATAATCTTTGTCTATATATATATATATATATATATATATATATATATATATATATATAAACAGCGTCCAAAACAAACAAACATTACCAAAGCCTAACTGCGATTGCCAAATCCGTCTGCCAAGCGTGGCAACTATTGGCAAAATCCCCTTACGGAGACGCCTATATTCAGCAGTGACATGATGATGATGAATGATTACAGAATAAGGTGTTTAAAATAGAACTGTAAACATTTAATGAGTTTTCTCAGTTTCAGTTCAGCTGTAGTTTTCTATTTTCAAGCGATTTCAAAAAGAAGAAGATTTTCAATTTAGTTATACTTTTTTTTTTATATTTGTTACCTCTTAACTCTGTCAGTTGTAAACCGATTCGAAAAACTCTTTTTTATTTAAAATTATATACAGATTGGTCCAATAGAAGTCTTATCAAAATCGGTCTAATTGTATAGTTTTGAAATCAGAATAACTAATTTTTGCCACAATGGACGTCGACTTTGTTTGCGGAACACAATTTTAATTATACCGATTTTTTTACGACTACAGGTGCGCAAGTGAACGCATCCAGTTCAGTGATAGGATCGCCTCTGCATGTGGCGTGCTCCGACAACATCTCTTGCAGGAAGGAAATCGTTCAAGTGAGTTCAATTGCTTCTACTTCTCCTTGAACATATAGGATCCTCTCCTCAATGTATTATCATCAGCACGTAATTGTCAAGTCCACCGTCGAAGTTGGTCATATTGCCTGAAAAATTGAGGGGGGAAGGGATTGTTACAAATGCGGACTGCCAGTCCTATTGCTAGCAATATACCAAATCAGGTCGACCTCCACGCGGTTCCTCCTGGAAATCATCGTGCTGAATTCCAGATGTATTCGTCACGATGGGCTAACTGGCCTACCTTTTCATTCTCATCTAACATCTATCATTGGTCATCGCCAGCGTATACCGATAGCGCAGACGGGGCTACCATTTCATTATCACCCATTAAAAAAAAAAGACTGAAAAATTTATAGAAAATATATGATGAAATCCAAGCATATTGGCCATTAAAGCATTCTGTTAGAGAAATCAAACTTTTTTTTAATCTAATGTGACATTTGCTTGCTTTTCTGTAAATTGCTAAATAGGTTTCAGAAACTTTAATAAACATAAAATCCGGGGGTAATTTAATTGCTTTAAGTAGGATAGGTATCGGGATACCTACCCTATTTGAAGCAAATAAATTTATTATTTATGGCTGTATTTATAAGAGGTTTAGCATTTTTGTATTAAATAAATTATTATTAAGATATATAGGTAGAAAGATACCGAGACAAAAAAAATTTCATAATGACTTGGGATCTGGCAAAATGTTTAGTTCTACTGTTAGAATACTCTCTTAAAACATATTAAAGACTTACTTTTTGCCCTATGTTATGGCCAAGATTAATTAGTAGAAAACGTTACCTAGAGCCGATTATTGATATTCTTAATAGACTTTTATCGCCTATTATTATATGTAAACCTTCCGCATACACTGATCTGATGATAACTGGAAAAAAGGTTCTTGAGTGGCAATCCCGTATAGACAGACACAGTATTGGACAACTTCCCACTAGATGATGACCCCAAATGCATTGCAGGGAGCCAGCGGATGAAGGTGGCTCGAGAGCGTTCCTTATGGCAATTATGGCATATAAATATGGTAAAATAGGAGAGGCCTATGTTCAGCAATGGACTTATAATGGCTGATATGATAATGGTGGTACACTGATACAGCCTGGAGACAATAGCATCAATGTCTACTAAAATAAAACTCCCTACAACTTCCTCATCTTACCCTGTAATTTCAGATCCTTCTAGAAAGCGGAGCTGACCCTAATCTGAAGGTGTACAATGATGAAGACGCGACACAGCTGCGACCAGCGCTCGCTGAGTACCTAGCCAGCAACCCGGAACCCAGCGCGGAGATAGTGACCTTGCTGCTGAGATATGGAGCTAGGGTAAGTGAGAATTTCTTAAAATTTCACTGCTGGGCACGTGCTACCATAAAGGGAGGCGAACGTTAGAGGTAATGACGTATGAAAAAAGTAGTTAAAATACCAACTAGTAGGTTTCCTTAATTTATATTGTTAATATAATATAGTGGTAAAAAAAACTCAATCGATTTAATATTCCAGGTTATCATGAAAACTCAATTTCGTGACCCGGATGGCATTTTGAATCATCTCCAGAACGTCACCGCTGCAGAATACCAGCACATTTTCTACCTCCTTCTAGAAGCAGCAGAAGCCTTCGACCTGTGCATGATAAAAAGAAATAATGTCTTAACTCCTGCTCAAAAACAAATCCTGACTGAACGAGCTAAGATGCCCATTCCTTTGATTGCACAGTGTAGGATATTCCTTCGCAAGTATTTTAGTACTTCCCTCATTGATCTTGTTGAGAAATTAGAAGTACCTAAAACACTTCACCGTTATCTTCTCTTTGAATGTAGTTAAGATTATTCAATCAATTTCATTGGATTAATCAATTGGCAGAATGTAGTTCCTTTGCTTCGGCATTAAAAAAAGGAAAAGAAAACGGTGTTACTAGTTCCAAGCAATCTTCTATTTTTATGGAAGATCTGTGAACTAAGGAGTGCAGTACGTTTTAAAATGTCTTGTTTCTGTTCATTACAAATACGCGACTGGAAAGATTATAGTCCAGTCAAAATTTATGTAAAATGATTGTTTTATATTATGCAATGTTATTTGAAAGGTCAAATAATACCTGTTTGTATGAATTGTATTTTTATGAACTCAATGAGAAAATTTGGTCTCATTACATGTAGTAAACGAATTAGATTTAGTATTTTAGTTTGTATTTATAAATGCATATCTTGAATATGAAGATACTTATATATTATACAAATATCCTCCTATTATGAGGAAAGAACTGTTTATTTTATGAGTTTAATAATTCATATTGACGACGCTCATTTTTTTTTTATAAAATCACGATTGAATTTTCGAAAACGACATTTAATCTGTAAACTGTATCTATGTGAATATTTTGTGAAAAATTTATAAGATTATTCTGTCTGTTGCCTTGCATGACTATTTTTAAAGTTTTGTAAACTATGTCGTCAAATTATTATTACTATAAAACATAAAACTATGCTAAGAGGTGATATGTAATACTTTATATACATATAATAATTAATATCTATTTTTAATTATGTCAAAGTTTATTCTACTTATCCCGAGATATAAAAGATTCTAATTTAAACTTAGTCTACGCCTTACACAAATATTTATAATAATATAACTGTCTAGTTAGTTTCCTTAGGCGTTGCTTAATTTAGTATTATTCATTATATATTGTCTACTCGGACATTTGCGTAGACACAGAAATCAAATGCACTATTACATATTTATTAAGAACTTCAAGTAATGTTTTTTATGGCGAAATATATAAATATGTTTCTTTGGATTATTAATGTCCTGGGTTCAATTTTCTATCGGGGTAATTTATAGTATGATTTTTTCAAAAAAAAATTATTGTCTGGTTTTTTATAACACAATAAATATTTAATATACAGACAACTGATGTAATGTTAAGTGCCAATTTTTCACTGTTACCGATTAATTATGTATCGCAGCTCGTATTACTCTGATATTGTCTGATAATTATGTGATACGTTGTGATATATTTACTTATAGTATTAAATATTAGACTTTTTCTTATGCAAATCTATTGTAATAATCATGAGATCGTATTATATTTTATAATTTAAATAAATGTGTGAAAAGTAACAGATGTATTATTTACTACTCTGTTTGTATAATTACTTTATCCAATCACTTCTTAGTGTCTACTTTGTTCTATAAAAAAATCCTGTGCAAAATTTAATTTTTTTTTTTAGCAACTTCGGATATGCGTCAATCACTAGTTTTTCCTTTATTATTTTTTGCGGTATCCCAATGCGCTAATTCCTAAACTTTTACATTTATAGCTATATTACGCAGCATTGTCCCTTTGAATTAGAGTAAAAATAATCTGTTAATGTTGGCTATATCTATCTGTGTACAAATTTTTATTCAAATTGGTAAAATTGTATAAGTGCCATTGAGCAAAAAAACATTTATATACTGAAATATTTTCATAAAATTTAATGAGGGTAAACGATAATATCTCAATTAGACTACGCTTGATTATTGTCTCGGAATACTAAGAACAAATAACAGTCTAAAATAATGAAATTTTCCAATTTGTGCACCTAAATAAAGCTGACAACTTAGTTTTAACTTGACAGTTCTAGTTAATGTCATCACCATCATAATATCAGCCCATAATTGTCCACTACTGATCATAAGCTTTCCCCTTAGGAGATTTTGCCAGTAGTTGTTACACTTGGCAGGCGGATTGGCAACCGCAGTTAGACTTTAGAGATGTTTTAAGAGGAACGCTGCTGCCCATCCTTCGTCCCCTCTTAATTGCCTTTTAAGACACCTTTGGGAGACATTTTTGGGAAAAGAAGGAATGGCTTATTCTATGCTAGAAATATACGGCGGATATAATTAATATACATTGAAAGTGGGAAAGGATTGTTATTAATGAAGAAGTTTGTACCCATTGATATCAATATATCCTATCAGGTCGACCTCAACGCGAATCCCCCTGCATACCATCGTGACTAATTTATCGTTGAATTCGTCACGATGGACTAACTGACCTGCCTTTTTATCCTCATCAATTATCCCTTCCTGGTGCCCATTCTCACCGATCACTGATACCCTGCAGGCATATACCGCTAGCGCAGACGGGGTTACCATTCCATTATCATCCATTAAAAAAAATTAAAGACGATGAAACCAGAAACTTTTGATATCACAGGTTGCCTTTTTTTTACAATCAATACAGAGGAGGAACTGTGGTTAAAGCGAATAAAAAATTCATAGATCTCGTGTCTGCCACGACCTTTAAGTATATTGAAAACGTATCTGTGAAATGAGCTGAATTTAATTTTTGGCCATATTAAATGTATTTATCTAAAAAATTACAAAGTAGGTTAGTATAAACGTCACCTACAACAGAGTAATGTCGCACTTTCGTTAAAAATCGGGCCTAAATACCGAAGCGAAAAAAGTTTTAATTGTTAATACCGATATGCAGGCCGAGGGCTCGTGTGACGTATCAGGTAGTTATTGTATTTGTTGAATTTGATAAAATGTTGGAAAATGGACAAGATATTGAGGTAAAGTAAAATAGTAGTCTGGTAACACTGGTAGTAATTGTCAAACAAATGTCAGATGAGATTATTCTTGTCATGTCATTGTTTCTATTATTGAGCTTGTTTTGAGATTTTCTAATTTTAATAATCATCTTCTGAAATTTTGTTAATTTGACCCTAAAAATGGCAGATAAACAGAAAGTAGACCTCGGTTTATTAGAAGAGGACGACGAATTCGAAGAATTCCCTGCTGAAAGTAAGTTATCGAAAAAAGTCGAATGTGTCGATTTACGAATTGTTATTTTTTTTTTTCTTTTAATTGTATATTTATTAATAATTACTGTGCAGATTGGGGTACAGAAGACGCTGATGATGAGGATGTATCCGTATGGGAAGACAACTGGGAGGATGATATTGTTCAAGATGACTTCAACCAACAATTGAGGTTAGATATTTGTTGTAATCATTCTTCTCAAGTAACGTTCACGTATGAGCAGACAATATTAGGGTATCACTAACTCTTTCACTAGATACAACTAGGGCCACTCTAAATATGTTACAGCTGAATCAGCACCATTACTTTTGGTAGTTTACAGAATAGGATATTCTCTGGCGTTTTGTTTCTATATCCTGTAATTTCCCATATTCCAACCTTCAAAGCAAAATACCCTTATGCCCTGGATATCATTATTCTGCAGTGTCTGTCTTTAGATGATTTACCATTGGTACCATTTTCTAAAATGTGTTTGCCATTTCAAAATGTATTTATAAAAACTTTCCAATGTGCCAGTTTTTAAATTAAACACTTCTTTATTTCAGGCAACAACTCGAAAAATTGAAGGAGCAAAATAAAGCATAACTGCAATTAGTTTAAGTTTTAGTAATAAGATTTTATAATAAAAATCTAGATGGATTTTTTTTCAATTTTTAACACAAGTACATTTCTTATTGTTTCCTCTTACAAATTGTATATTTGTTAACATTTTGTAACAAACAGGATGTTGTATTACCAAAACATTTAATTACAAATAAACATCTAGATCTTAAAATTACTTTTTATTTTGAGATATATATATATATATATATATATATATATATATATATATATATATATATATATTACCGGCTTCTGGCTCTGGATTTGCATGGGTGTACTAATATTTTTTTAAATCTCCCGTCTTTTGCGTCACTCTTTCATTCTCTTTTATATATGAAGATTTTTAACACAAAATTTTCACTTTTCCATATTTTGTCAGCTTATTTCTCATTTGTGATTAATTCCTGATAGTTTTTTATGATCAACCAACTGATCTAATTTTATTTTGCCTGATCAACTCTTACTGGTATTCTGCCAGTATATATCGACAGTGCAGGCAAGGCTTACAAATCTATTATCTATTAAAAAGAAAAAAAATATCATCAACAGCACCATCGCGCTAATGCCGAATTAAATTTTTTTCATTAATGGGTCATGATGAAATAGTAACCCCACATGCGCTATCGGTATACACTGGCGGGCCACCAGTGAGTGAAAATAGGTGAGAATGAAAAGACAATTCAGTTAGCCCATCGTGATGAATACACCTGGAAATCACCACGATGGTTTCTCATGGAGGTCGAACTGGTTGGGTATATTGCTAGCTATGTGGCCCTTAGTCTCCATTGTTATCAATCCCCCCCCTGCCTCCAATTGTAAAGGTTGTCATTTGTTAAATAATAATAAAACAATAACTTGTACAAATATTTATTATCTTACTATTATTAATCAATACCAAAATCAGTCTCAGGATTTTTATTTGAGCATACCATTATAAAAAGTTTATTAAATACATGAATACCATCACAATTACAAGTATACTATAATAACAGATTGGCGATATTGTATCACGCCTTTAAAGTTTTCTACTACTTAGTCTATATCGTTAATTGATTTTTTACTTTGGCTAAGGAAAACATTCTTAGACAAGTGGCGAACATACCTGTAGATACATTATCGTTACTACAAATCAAACTGAACGTTGGAGTCTTGTTTTTTGGCATGCATGTGGTAGAAAAAAGTGCATCTATTGATATATTCCTTTGTTACTTGTCTATTAAGTCAAATCCCCTGCGCAAAGTGTATTAAACAATATTACCTACATAGATATACAGTTTATTCAAGTAAATCAAGACCAGCTTGATTGTAGACTTAATATTAACAATATAACACAGTTACTAATAGAATGAATTTGAAACTGGATATATCGGAAAAGGAAGACCTAAAAAGGATGGATTGCCAATGGAGTATATTTTGAAGAGTTATTCTCTAAACGAATCATTAAAATTTAAGTTTTCTGTAAAAAGAAATTAAGTGAAAATTATTATAAAGTTGAACCATTATATTTTGTATTTGTTTTGAACCATGAGCCTAAATTTCATATTTTACATGTTTAATTTCAAAGGAAATTCCATAACTTTCAACTTATATATATATATATATATATATATATATATATATATATATATATATATATATATATATATATATATATATATATATATATAAAATATATATAGTTTTGGAAAAAAATATAAATTTTAGTGATTAATTTAGAAAATAATTCCTCACAATCGACTCCATTACTAAGATTATTTCATTGGTGTACTTCTAAATGTAGTATTTTTAGAAAATGACTTACATAATCCAGATGGAGAATAAAAGGCATACAAGGCATCACACTTAACAATGGGAAAGTGAAAGATGACTATTGGTATAACAAATGATATGCAGTATTCAATGTGATGTTTTATATACACCTAAGATAGCTAAAAAATGTTTATTAATTCATGATATAAAGGCACAATTGCTTAAATATTGACAGATCTACTTACCTATACTTTGTTTAGGGATAGGCAGAATTTACATAGCGGGTTTGTGCAAATTGTGTCCCATTATGCATTATTGCAGTAGAAATTACAGCTTAGTTTATTGATGTGTGTAGTATAGTTACCTACACACACAAAATTATGCATATTTATAAATTTTCACAGGAATGCATATACAGGGAATGTTTTTTTCTGTTTGCTTTGTGCCTCGCACTAATACCTCGCGCTAAACCCCGCCTTTCCGTAAATAAGTTCTTATTAATCAATTTTCAAAATTGTTCTTAGACTACAGTCTACTATTTAGAAGTTCATGTTTGGGGTTTCCGAAGTTCCAAATTGGTACTCGTTGTTCGTTTCCGCTGGCATTGCGACCACATCGTCTTGTTCCGCAAAGTACGTATCCAAGATGTGTAGAGTTTTCTTATATACCTATAATATTAATATATTTTTAATAACTGTAAAGCAGGCGGAGTTGCCATGTTTTCATTCATTAAAAAAACCCTAGCCAGGGGGAAGGGGGTTACCTAACCCTTGCCACGATTGGCAGACTGGTTGGCAACAGCAGTTAGGCTTGAGTGATGTTTTAAGAGGGACGCGGCTGCCCATCCCTCGACCATTAAGTCGTCAATCGCTCCTTAAGACACCCACTGGAAGGGAAGAGGGTGACCTATTCTATGCCGGGACCGACACGGCAAAGCATGAATTTTACTAATTCCCTGAGTGTTTTTTAAAGTTTTGAAAACACAATGAACAAACAGAAGCTGGCGAGAAACTAGTGAGCGATTTCATCAGGAGTTAACCCTTTGAGTGCCGACGAGCGCCATCGCGCTCGTGCGCATTGCAACTAAAAGTGTCACGAGCGTCATAGCGCTCGTGAAATCAGTCGCTGTTTAGCTTGCTAAAAAAAAATATTAAAATTGGATAATTTTTGGAGGAGATACAGTTTTTTTTAGAGACAAGGGTAAATGACATCAACACGACAAAGATTTCTTGGGCATTTTTAAGTAGATATGAGTAAAAATCGATGGCACTAAAAGGGTTAATGACGATGATGAATTGGTGATGGTGAATTGACGATGATGGATTCCAGGAAAACTATATCCAGTAACTTGATATTGCTAGCAATGCCGGCCCCTAGTTCTTGTTACTAACAAATGCTTTTTTACAGGACGCGAGATATTATTTTGGTGAATTACAGATTTACATTAGTACAAGACGGAGATAAAGCAAACTGTATCAATCAAACTTATTTACCGAATCGTTTTCGTGTTGCTGCAAAGCTTCTAGTTGGTCCAGGGCGCCGATCTCCTCTAACTTTATACAGAGAGGCTCCACTTGGCCAAATTTCGCGGCGGCCTGTAACAATAATTTATTTATTTATTTAAGGAACACTAATAGCATATTGCATTATAACATATAGGTATAACAAACATTAAATATAATACAATATTAATGCACACGCATGAATATTAACATTTATACAGTGTAAGAAAATTAAATAAAAATAAACATGTAACCTAAGCCATTTGGTTTTAAAAAAAATACGTCTTTTTTAAGTCACTTCTAAAAGGATACGTTATACATTACAGAATTACGTCGTTAATTCTAATCGATTTACGACTTGGATGTTTCTCTTTTCTATACAACTTAGAATGGCAAATAAACTGACGGCCCATCTGATGGAAAGCGGTAACCGTCGCTTATTATAGACATGTATAGTACCATGGACATAACATCTGATGTCGGCGCCGAGTAAAAGAGGCGGAGATACAGTGTAAATGATAACTTTATTTGAGAATCCGACATATAAATACCGGGTCCAATGCCCGGTGAAGTTAGCATGATTACATGGTAAAATACCTGCAGTAGGTTGGTGAGGCCGTCGAGCACGACGGTAATTGCGCGGTGGTCGGGCGAGGCCAGCAGGTTGCAGTACGGCTGCAGGAAGCCCGCCGCCAGTAGCGCGTCCAGCTGCATCGGAGTGCCGCCCAGGCACAAGTTCGTGATGGCCCACGCTGCCTCCTTCTGGCACCTGGCAAGGCAATTATTTGTAATGGAGACTAGAGTCTCTGTTGCCAGTAATATAATCTGTAAGGATCATCACTCGGTTTTAGTTTGTTTTGCCAAGGAGACTGCAAAGAAATCTTTATCAACATGTATTTGCTGCAAAGCAGTTATGTTGGCATGAAGATATTTTTCGATTAATAAATTTAAAATGGCAACCTTGACTGTGGTATTGATATACATTGGCAGAATACCAGTAAACAATACCAGGCAAGGATGAATTTATATATATTTATATATATATATATACATATATATATAATGTTTATATAGATATTTAATTAAGTCTTATTTTTATATAAATAATATTTAAAAATATGTGCATTTTATTTGGTTACTTTTTTTTTGTATTTACTATTGTATTGACTTGCGCCACCTAACTTTCTCTCTGTACTTACCTATTTATGTTGTCTGTAAGCGACTACTTTTAGCGATCAAGCCGCCTTTTGCATATGTACATTCTGTATATATATATATATATATATCTTTTGTGCACGCAGCAATAATCAACACTTTTAAGATATTATCAAATATTTCATTGCTTGAAACGGATCTTTCTCCATATTAAAAAACTTTTACCATAGTACACTGGGGAAGTGTTTTTTTTTTGTAACTTAGAATGGCAAACAAGCTGACGGCCCACCTGATGGAAAATAGTAACCGTCGCCTATAGGCATAGGTTTGATATAGACTGCTTTCTAATCAATCTTTCACTATCATTACTCACTTAATATCTTGGAAGGACAACACTTCTAGTAGATGAATCAGTATGCCCTTGTCGATGGCCTGTTGTATTTGGCTAGTAGTGCCGGCCAGAATGTTGGAGACGGCCCAGGCCGCCTCCTTCATGAGGGACGGCTTCCCGCAGCGCAGCAGTGTAACGATGTGGTCTAGGCAGCCCGCTTCTAGGCAGCGATCCGTCTGAAATACATATGGACTAGTTTTTAAATCGTGACTTTGCATGACTAGTACATATTGACTGCCAGACAGCCTGTGCCCTCCATTCTAAATATTGTGTGAGGGAGGGTTTTTACTGACAGGAGAACAAACAGCTCCATTATTATCAATATACCCTGCTAAGGTAATCTCCACACGATCTACTGTTAACTAAGGTGGGGTAACCAATTCCATAGAGGGGAAAGGGATTATTAGTAATGGAGACTGAGAATCCCATTGCTAGCAATATATACCCAACCAGGTCGACCTCCTCGCGGTTCCCCCTGGAAACTATCATGGTTAATTCCTGATGAATTCATCATGGTGGGCTAACTGGCCTGTTTTCATCTCATCTATCACCCTTCACTGGTGCTCCGCCAGGGTATCCCGTTAGCGCAGGCTGGGTTACCATACCATTTTTACCCATAAAAAAACCAATTCCATGCATTGCCAATCTTGAGGTCTCGGGTGTCATCCCTCTGTATCCTGTAAATTCACTGCCCTATCCCACTCTTCAAACCGAAACACAACTGCTTCACGGTAGAAATACGAAAATGAGGTCTGGCAGATGTCGTCTGCAACTTTACTCGTGCTATGGCTTTAACACCACATTTTTGCATACAAAATAACCTTATAAAGTCAATACCTGCTCATCAGATCCAGTCAGCATATTTCCAATGGTCCTGAGCGCTGGCGTTCTAACTGTAGGCGACTTGTGTCCCAGCAGGGCAATGAGACGCGGAAGCATGCCCACAGTGGTCTGAACGCCCTCGATTCTATCGTTGGGCCCATCCGTCAGGTACGACATAGCCCAGCACGCGTCAGCTGCAACCGTTACAATAATAATATTTTTATTCAAATAAAGTCAATAGCAAGCATTTTTGAATTGTCATTTTTTATAAATCTGCCGTCTAGTTCGGAATACAATTTCAATTGAGATGAACGGGTAAAAAACAGAGCTGTTGCTTTTTTTCAAATAAAAGATAAGTTAACACAACATAAAAAAAATCTGAATGGATAAAATGAATATCACAAACTTTGCCTCAGCGTTTTCTATGTACTTATAAAATTATATTATTTTTAATATACTGGGTAAAAGGAACAGGTAGGCCAAAACAAAAATAACTCTAATGTTAATGCTAACTCAGATGTATGTTCATTCTCATCTATCACCCTTCACCGGTGCTCCGCCAGCATATCCCGTTAGCGCAGGCGGAGTTACAATACCATTTTCATCCATAAAAAAAAAATTGTTTTTGCCAACCTGTCCCTTATGGGGGGAAAGGGATTGTTAGTAATGGGGTCAAATAACTCCATTACTAGCAATATACCCTGTCAGGTCGACCTCCACGCGGTTCCCCCTGGAAACCATCGTGGCTAATTCTAGTCGAATTCGTCAGGATGGGCTAACTGACCTGCTTTCATCCTCATCAGTCATCTATTACTGCCCCGCCAGTGTATACCGATAGCGCAGACGGGGTTACCACACCATTATTACTCATTAAAAAAAAAAACCTTGTCCCTTACACCTTGTACAGTACATAATAATATATAATACATACCTAGGATATCTTGGTCGCTTACTTCGAGAAGATCTGAGATGTATATGAGTGCTGGCGAGACCAATTCGAATTTTACAAGAGGATTCTTATTTCTGAAAAAGTAAATCGGTATTTTATATCAGTTGTTACCTGTACAGATTTCTTTGCAAACTAAAATAGCTTTACTCTCAAGGTTTATGCTGTCTTAGTCCTTTATTATATTACTTTGGGTTGACTGTAAGAGATCCCTTTATGGGATAAGTCCGCCATTGTATATTAAATCATTTACCAGTGTTTAATCTGAGTTATGTACAATAAAAATTTTACAATACTTTTTAGTATTGTGGTCAAGGATAAATCAAAAAACGTTTCTACTAAGGATGAGTAATATATATCAATATCTTATATATTTTAGTTACAATATCTATACACTGGTCCAATAAAGTATATGTTAGTCTGTTATTAAAAAAAATGGGTGATGACCTTTTTTCAGCTAACAATCTTCAGAGAAACCCAATATATAGATATTGGGAGGAAAGGGATTGTTAGTAATGGAGACTGAGTTACTGGCCTGTTTTCATTCTCATCTATCACCGTTCACTGGTGCTCCGCCAGCGTATCCCGTTAGCGCTGGCGGGGTTACCATACCATTTTACCTATCAAAAAAAAAAAATATATATATATATATATAGATATGGGATCGGTATGTATATTAGTGACGCCTGGTGTCTACACGTAAAAGAGGAAAGTACGGATAGAGCGCGAGGTCACCTGCAGAGGTTGCTGTAGGTCCAGACGGCGGTGCGCAGCTGCGCGGGCGGCGTGCGCGGGCGCAGCAGCGGCAGCAGCGCGGGCAGCGCGGCGTGCGCCAGCACGGCGTCGCGCGGCGCGGCGCCGTCGCCCGCGATGTTGCCCAGCGCCCACGCGCTCTGCTCGCCCACCGTGCCGCCGCGGCCCAGCAGCGACACCAGCGGCGGGATCGCGCCCGCCTGCACGTTACCACTGGCTAGAGCACGTGCCACATGTTCGCAAACCTAACCCTGAGTCCCGTTCTTATGAGGTGATGTTTATTTCCCAACAATAAAGTTGTTGAATATGTTATAGTAGATACCTATCAAGTATTACGACACACCCTCAACGGCGATCGGATCGGACCACCTAGCATGGCGCAAGAAGGTGCGCTACCGAGAAACACACCTGCGTCCAGTCAGCATTTCAATTCTTTATACCCATTTCCTTTATGTTTGATTAAATATGACTTCACTTACGGATCACACATCGATCTGAAGACACATGTTATTGTAATAATTAATTTTAGAATTAAATTTAGTTATATTTATAAAATTGTTTTTTTTTTTTGGGTCTTCCGCCAGCGATTTCAATAACTAATATCATAGATAAGTGTTGTCATAAAAAGAAACTATCCACATTTATATTAAGACAAAGTCTGACGTCTTGTTCTTTATCATGTATGCACAAATAGACAGATATCTTTCGGAAGATTCGTTATCATTGTAATCACTAAAATAAATTTGACATAATTAAAAAATGTAAAACAAAATTAACACATTTATGTGTAAACAAAAATCTCTTTTTTTTAAAGCTAATAAATATAAATGGATCTTACATCAATAACAGCCATAGTGTGGTCGTGGGTGCCCGATGCTATGTTGGTCAGAGCCCATGCAGCCTCAAACTGTAGGTCGCTACTGTAAAATAAATTAATACATTTATTTTATAGTTCAATTTCAAAACCTTTATTAATGAATAGCTATGTTGCACAACAGTGGCTGTGTCAACATGTTCTTTTGACACAAATGCTTTCTCCATAGACTTCCATTTTTTCCTATCCCTTGCTGTCCTAAGTCACAATTCACCTGCAACACTTTCGATCTCATTCAACCATGGCCAGAGCTTAGGTAGCATTGAGGGGCAATGTCCTATTTAAGTCTAAGTGACTTAAATAGGACATTGCCCCTCAATGCTTTTTTGTTAAGGCTTCTGCCATAACAAAAAAGTTCTTTTGCCCTACCTTAAACTGATATCGTTAGTAATGGGGCGATTAGTCCTCTTTGCTATCAATATACCCTATCAGATCGACCTCCACACGGTTCCCGCTGGAAACTATAGTGACTAATTTATCATTGAATTAATTATATCACGATGGGTCGTGATGAATTATTAATATTCGTCATTAAATAAAAAAGTGGCTTATATAAAATATATCTATCTATCCTATTTAAAAGCTGCGCTCTTGTCGGTGGAGCTCTTGCCACTCACTACGATTTTCAGTGAGTCTCTTCACCTCTTGATACGACACGACACCAACTGCTTCCTTGATCTGCCTGATGTAACTATGCCTCATTCTCCCTCTTCCCTCTATCTTACCTTCTATTATAAAGTTCATAAGTTCGTCGTGTCGTGTCCCAACATTTTTATTTATTTAAAAAAAATATATATATACACATATAATAAATAGTTACCAATCATCTCTGTCCAATACATCAATTAAGGGTTTTATGATTCCAGCGTTCACCATTATTGAAATGGGTGGGTTTTGCTCCTTTGACAGCATGCGGCGGGCGGCGCGAGCACTCGCTGTCTTCACCGACAAATCCTGAGACTTCAGGCCTGGTAACAACGTATATAAATGTTTATTTATTTACACTATTGCATCATTTATAAAAATAATAAATACAGTAAATAAATAAACCAAAGGAAGAAGACTTTGTACAAAAATTACATTAGTTTGGGCACTTCTGTCCCATTTGTGTTTCTACCGTGAAGTAGTTGTGTTTGCATGGCTGTATTTCAGTTTGAAAAGTTTTAAGGGAAGGATATGGCAGTGAATTTACAGGGTATAGAGGAATAACACCTGAGTCCTCAGGAATGGTAACACATGGCGCCACACAACACATATCATGGGCGAAACAGTATACTCTGTTTAGTCCATTGTACTGCTCATGTCTATAGGCGATGGTTACCACTTTCCATTAGGTGGGCTGTCAACTTGTTTGCAGTTTTAAGTTGCATAAAAAAAATATATTGGGAAGTGATACAAAAGGCGCCTTATTGCTAAGCTAATCTCTTTCAAACTTTGGTAAAGCTAGTGCACTATTACATAGATACTAATATATACATACACATATTAGCACACACAAACAAAAGAAAATGAAGAATTAATAATAAATATATCTTATTAATCCCTATTAATATTATAAACTAGCAATTTAGCCCGACTTTGTATGATTTGCTTTAAAATGTGTATCTAATAAATTTTACATTATAAACAATCACCTTTCCTTTTTGTAACATTTGTATAGATGTTTATTTGTTTGTTACCTTTTTTTAAGGGCTCAACCAATCGTCTCAAAATTACAAATACTATTTCAGATGGAAAAGGACATAGGTTATTGTTTATTCCAGTTAATAAACTTATCCAAGTCTCACAGACGAAGTCACGGGTAAAAACTAGTAGAAAACTATAACATATGAATATTTTTTGGCTGTTTTATTGCTTTTTTTTAAAATAGGAAAATAACTCTAAATAAAACAATTCAATAACTAAAATTTGAATTAATAGAATATGTTAATTGGGATTACTATACCATATCAGACTAACTGTTCGCTGTTGAATATAGACCTCCCCCTTGGGGGGTTTTGCTAGTAGTTGCCACGCTTGGCAGGGGGATTGGCAACTGCAGTTTGGCTTACATAAGTCTAACAGCATTCCTATATAAACATCACCTGATGTTTTTTTTTGGTGGATGAAAATGGTATGGTAACCCCGCCTGTGCTAACGGGATATGCTGGCGGAGCACCAGTGAAGGGTGATATATGAGAATGAAGTATATAATAGTTTCCAGGGGGAACCGCGAGGAGGTCAACCTAGTTGGGTATATTGCTAGCAATGGGATTTTTAGTTTCCATTACTAACAATCCCTTTCCCCCCCATCACCTGATGTTTGAAGAGGAATGCTGCTGACCATCCCTCAACCAATAAATTCCCTTAGTCACTTCTTACGACACCCATGGGAAAGAGAGAGGTGGCCCATTTTATACAGGGACCACACAACCATTTGGGATTAATGTAACATATTTCTGCATTCCACTATACCAGTCTAGATAAATTACATTATTTTTTCAATTAATTATTATTGTAATCACCCTGTACAATCTCTGCTGGAGACATTTGCTTCTCTCCTTCATCAGGTACATCTTCTGTCTCCGGAGACAAGGCCCTGCGCTTAAGCAACTGCTCATCACGAGCTTGCTTCCGCAATGCAACACTGAGCTCTGCCCGTTTGCGTCGAAGATCCTGTATTAAAAATATAAAGAATTAGAAGGGAATTTCAGTGATCACATTGCTAATAATGGGGATTTAACAACCTTATTGCTAGCAATATAGCCTATCAATTCAATTTCCACATAATTCACCCTGAAAACTAGTTTGGTTAATTCTTGTAGAATTTATCACAATGGGCGAATTTACCTATTTCATTCTCATGTATGATCCCTTATTGGTGCTTTTCGTTAATACACATAGCATAGGTGTGATTACCATTTCATTATCACCAATTAAAAAATACACAATTTTGGTATATGGGCACAGCCCATCTGACCCCTCTAAATATGCCTATGGAAGTCAATATTAATATTATTAAATTCAGTTTTGTTACTACTGAAGTCTAAGTCCTCTTTTTTTTTGGAGCAAAATATTTCATATACTCAGGATACAAGATATTAAATACAAGCCAGAAAACAGCTTTTTAATCAATCGAAAATCTAACTCTGAACTTTATTTATGAAAGAAACACTTTCGACAAGCAGGTGGTCATAAGGTCATGCATGACCTATCCACAAGCGTGATTATAATTTTCGATTAGATCAAACGGCAAATTTTCTAATGTCTAAACAATAAGTAAATAAGTTTATAAAATTTTAAGTACATAAATATTATAATTTCATAATGACGGTGTCGCAAAAAATTTTGATTTGACTATCCTATTATTTTAAATTAGGTCATTTATTTAGATAATTGTGCGGAAACATAAAGTTTCCTTGATTATTAAGCTTAAGAATAAAAAAAATAAATCCAATAAGTACATATTTCATCTACGAACAATTTTGAATTTTGAACAAAGAAATTTCATAAACTATACTCACTGTTGTCCCTTGGCCAGCATTTTTGTAAGATAACAATCTTGAATTGTGGTTCGTTTCTGCCATTACGAATAAATAAATTATATTTTCAAACACGAAAAATAAATGTAAAGAAAAATAGTAATTTTCAATGCAATTTAATTTTCAAATGCGTAACGGATTGTGATATGAACAAAAAGTACATAGATGAAGTAGAGTTACCATTGCCAACTAAATTTTTTATTTCTCGCCAATGCATTTGGAGCGATATTCCACAAAAAAACAAAATTTTGTATTTTATTTCAAGTAATTGATTAATGCAAATCAATAATAGGGACGTATGTTTATTTTGATATTAAGAATTGATTTGTTAATATATTTTTACCTCTCACAGGGCCAAATATTTTACCCATAATTGAGAACAGAATATCTATTATGGCAATGTTGACCAGAAACAGTGTATTTTTCTAATAGCTTTTACGGCTTTGGATATTTGCCTAAATTTAAGTTCTGAATGCAAAACGAATTAACTGAAATAATATTTAGTTAATAAATAACTAGAACACATTTCATTTATAAAAATATTATAAATATTATTTGAATTACATTTACTTATGAATTATGAAGTGGACAGAGTTTAAGTTTTAATTTCAAATAACTACATGAGATTTTTTATAAAGGCAATAAATGCTTTTGCAAATGTTACCCACTGTCAAATATTAATTCTAATTGACGTGAAATAACGAATTGATTACATAATCGATTAAGTATTAATTAGCTATTTATGAATAACTTTATTTGCATATAAGAGAATTTCTATTGTTAAATAATTTTATAATTCATCAGATTATACATTAATAATATCAAAACTTTTATCAAGAATTATTCTAAATTTATATGTTTTACATAAATAAATGTTTAAATTCTTCAAGCAAATAATTATAGAACATATTTTTTTATTACTATTATTGATGCATTATATTTAATTAAGTATATATTAAAAACCTTTAACTATGTATTTATTCATATTTTATAAATGTTACCGAAGTATTATAATAATTAAAATAATTGCTTTTTTTAAGAGTGCATAAGTAGATTATTTTTGAGTTTGCTCATATAATTATTACATTATATTTTATAATTTACTATAATAAATATATATTGTTTCTTGAGCTTTCTGTATAATATTAGAATTTAAACTAACAATTATTGAACAACGTAGTTATTGAAAGGACATTGCAATAATTAACTAGAACGTGAATATTTCCTGTCTGACTTCATTATTAATCAAACTGCATTGCGACTGTTGGAGTCATCGAATTAATGCAGCTGAGATGAACATCTGAAAAAAATAGTACTGAATAAAATAAGAAGAAGTAGGAGGTGACCTCACGACAGATATTGAGTAGTGGGATGGGCTTAACATGCGCAAAGACGTATTACACAGAAATAATGTTACGTTATACTATAATTAACCTATGCCATGACCGACACTTTCATCTGATGAATTCACATACGAAACGATCGTAAATTAACGTTATTAAAACAAGTTTACAGACCATCAAGAACATGTAATTACGCAAAACGTTACGCTGTTGGGCGTGACATCACAAATCAGTCCGGACGGGTTGAAGACAACACGATGATTCGCTATCCTTGTTTCACACTCGGTTTTTGATAGAGAGGTCACTGGCTAGCAGGCCGGCGCTGATCGTATTCTGTCGAGGGTGTCGCCATTTTCGTTTTGACGAATATTGACAGCACGGCAGACAGACAGCGGCGCGGCGGTCGACGCAGCGTCTGTAAGACTATTTTTATTTTGATTGTGATTCATTTTACGAGCAGACATCATCAACTAACGCGTTGTGTATTAATCTCTGATCAAATTTATATAAACTGAACGTTTAGAAGTGTTAAATGATACATATATATACGAATATCATAGATTTTTGGTGCTAACCTCTTCCTTTTTTTTACTAGTGTTTTTGAGAGACTGCAATCTGATTGTGATCGATATGTGCAAGATGTACTACAGATGACTCTGCAACATTATCCAACCTTGTGTTGTTTTCTTCTGGTAAGTTAATAGACTAGTTAGAATAAACTAATATTAACATGAATGTGATACAGGGGTGAATCTACAATATAAATAACTATATTATTTTGAGATGACGAAAGAACGTAAGCTGGTTTAAATTTAGCTTGACGATGATATTTACTGTGCAAAATGACAGTCGCCCTTTGTTGCGGTAGCTCCAGTTTGTTTACGAACTGTCACGGGCAGTACACGGCTCAAGATATATTGCCTGGGTTGGCGACTATGCGTGGGCTTGTTGCGCGTTGAAAATGTTTCCTTGTCGGCAGGGATTAAGGTCGGAATTCATTCAGCATATACAACGATAACGGCCCGTAGAATTAATTTATCACACGCCGCGCTTGACAAGTTGAAAACATAAATTCGACCTTGGCGCTCCACGTGGTTTAGTTATTGCGCTTTCTTCTTTCTAACTTATTATATTAAGATCATAATCGATTATCGGCTAGTTTGTAATTTTTTTTGGATTCTGGCAGCACTATGAAATATAAACTCCATAAAAAAAATTAAAATAGAATAAGAAAAAACATGCAATAATAAATTATGCTTCTTTCTAATATCTATTAATGACGTCTTTGCTTTTTTTTCTTTTATTTTATAAATAATTTTATCTGATTAACTAAAAAAAATATTTTTTTGGTAAGCGTTAACATTATCTACTTTGAGTTAAGGGTTTTAGTGTGATTTTATTTAATAATTGGTTTTTAGGTTTTATTTTATTTTTTTTTTATTTTTAAGTGTTGTTCAGAAAGCAGAATATACAATGATACTTTAAAATTGTGAGCATATGATTAATGTTAAATGATCATAAATGAAATTTGTTGGAATCAATATTATGACCATCATCTTTACAATTCTAAAAATGCTAATTATAAAAAAAAATACCTATATCTGAAATATAAAATAATTTTAAAACATAAAAATTAGTCTCTCATTAAAATTGTAATCTTTTGAAATTGGTTGAAAATTGTTAAAATAACAACCATGTGATTTCATAGCTTAATGCTATAAGATGTTGCTTTGCAATAAATGGCAGATAATTTTATAATATAAAATTTAATATGGGAGCAGTGTGATTGTAAACCATTTGTAAAAACTTAAAAAAAAATAATATAGTCACTTATTATTAGAATCTTTGTTACATTTCATGTCTGTCTAATTAATTTTTTCCTTATATAAATATTAATTTGTTTGTTTTTAAATATTTCTTGAATATATTATAGCTTCATATGATATATTCTTACTAATATTATAAATATGAAAGTTTATCTGTTACCTCTGGTGTCCTAAACTGGTGTTTAAAACTTATAGTATTAATATAAATGGTTAATCATGGGGTGCTGCATGTTATGTGCCTGTATATGTATGTAACATCTTATTGTACCATGTAGCAAGCGAATAAATATGATTTGATTTGAATCAGAAAGGCATATTATGCATATTTCTTTAGTAATTTTTGAGTGATCACAATTAGCTATAATATATTATATATTATCATTCAGTACTGGGTAATTTAAATATGGCTGATATAATGAAGAAATACTTTTGTTAAATGACCAAAATATACAGACTAACATAGCACTATCTGCCAGGGGTTCCTTAACTTTTAAGATAATGGAATGCCCAGCAAATATACCATTTATTTTATGGAACTCTATATCAAATGATTATAAATAAAAAAACACTGTAATTTAAATAATAACAAAAGCTTTTATTAGCAATATTTTAAAAGTATAGCACTTTATAGTTTCCTTTAACTTTTATTGTGAAATATGAAATTGTTTCACTGTATAAATCAATTTGAGGAACCCAGGTGACTATTTTATGGAACCCGTAGATTCTGCGGCACCCACTTTAGCTGCTATATGTTATGGTATAATAAGACTGCAGAGCTGATGCTAAGAGAGCTAATGAGTACAAATATGTTATATTAAATTATTGCTGCTGTCAATCAAATAGTGGAACTGGAATGACACCTGAGTCCTCAGGAATGGCAACGCATGGGAGGTATCATGGGCGAAACAGTATACTCTGTTATGTCCATGGTACTGCTCATGTCTATAGGCGACCGTTACCACTTTCCATCAGGTGGGCCGTCAGCTTTTTTGCCATTCTAAGTTGTATAAAGAAAAAATTATAAATTTGATAACCACACTTTATTATAATACAATAAGTTATGTAAATTCCTTAAATGTAAAAAGAATGTGCTCTCTCACTTTAGGTACCTCACTGTCCATATCCAATAACAAGAATTAAACTCCCAGAGACCAACATAACTATGAAAAAAAAAGCAGCTGCTGTCTATGGCAGCTGGCTGTAATATATATAGCTTAGTATATTATTATATATTACAGTTCTGTCCATAATGGGCTTTATTTGTCTATCGACTTGGCATATTTTCAAAATCTTGGAAATATATCTATTTACTTGTGCATGTAAATAGTTACATTTAAAAATAGTACTGCTTTAAAAAAAAAAAGCTCATGTAAAATAAAAATAAAAAATGTCTTCTCATTTCATTATTAGTCTTCTGGAATGGCAATACTATAAAGGGTGAATGTGAAATGTGAATGTGAAAAAGACTATTTTCCGCGCTTAGCTTCTCATTATATTATTGTGCGTATGAGTCGTGGCTAGTGCAGCCAACCTAGTTCCGCCCAGAAGCGCAGAAGCTTCCTGGGTTCTTCACAGGCCTCACGGAGCGACCTCATCGTTCCGAGGATTTCTAAACGTTGATGGGCCACAGCCTCACATTCCAGGATTACGTGAGCAGCCGTTTCTTCGGCGTCGAAACAGCCTCGACATAGAGGGCTGTCTGTGGCTCCTATTGTGTATAAATGTTCGTTTAATGGACAATGACCCGTTATTGTCCCTATCATTATTAAATACTATAAGGGGTACCATAAGCATTCTGTGTTGCCCATGATGCTGTTTATGTCTATAGGCAACAGTGATCATTTTTTATCAGATGGATTGCCAGTTTATTTGTCAATCTATTGTGCTCCTCCTTTTTTAAAGTTTGCTGCTAATTCCTTTCAATGATAGGAATTTTAAGATATTTTTTGTAGTGATGTTTTTTATCCCCTCAGGATCTGAAGTGTATTTTCAAAAGGAATTCTTTAATGTATGAGTGGCAGGGGGAAAAGGGATTGTTAGTAATGGAGACTGAGAATCCCATTGCTAGCAATATACCCAACCAGGTCGACTTCCTCGCGGTTCTCCCTGGAAACTGTCATGGTTAATTCCTGATGAATTCATCATGATGGGCTAACTGACCTGTTTTCATTCTCATCTATCACCCTGCACTGGTGCTCCGCCAGCGTATCCCGTTAGCGCAGGCGGGGTTACCATGCCATTTTCACCCATCAAAAAAAAAGTGTATGAGTGGCTACAGCCACAAATTAAGTCCACGGCTTTATATAAGCCTCCTCCTTGGGGAGCTTTGCCAGTAGTCGCCACGCTTGGCAGGCGGATTGGAAACCGTAGTCAGGCTTTAGAGATGTTTTATGAGGGATGCCGCTGTCCGTCCCTCGCCCTCCTTAGTTGGCTCTTACGACACCCACAGGATAGGAAGGAGGAGGGGGGGGGGGTATTCTATGCTGGGATCACACGGCTTAACTTAAACATTATTGAAATTACTTGAATAATATTTATTATATTATTTATTTATTATTAAAAAAATATATATATTCACGCGGAAGAAGTCGCGCGTTATAACTAATTTTATTATAATAATTATCACTTGCGACTTCGTCTACATGAGCAGGATGGGTTAAAAATAAGCCTATGTCCTTCTCCATCCCAAAGACTCATTATGTACAGAACAAATTTCAAGTGTATTTAATTTAATTGTGTCATTAAGGTGCCAAGGCTGACAAAAAACTTTTTTTTTTTGTAGGTACGGTAGTTTGTACTACAAATATTTAGTTACAGTTTTATTATATGTATATAAATATATAAATAGAAATTTACATTTTAAAGAAATATAAATTTAAACAATATAAATATAAAAATTCAATGGTCGAGGGATGGGCAGCAGTATCCTTTTTTTTTACAACACAGGGGGCAAACGAGCATGCGGCTCACCTGGTGGTAAGTGACTACCGCCGCCCATGGTCACCCACAACACCAGCGGCATTGCAGGTGTGCTACCGGCCTTTTAAAAAGGAATATGCTCATTTCTTGAAGGTTATGTTGTCCTTCTTAAAACATCATGAAAACCTAACTGCGGTTGCCAACTCGTCTGCCAATCGTGGCGTCGTCATCATCGTGTCGTCGTCATCGTCATTTCAGCTATTATTTGTCCACTTTTGGACACAGGCCTCCTTCATAGACTGCCATAGGGAACGGCCCTGAGCTACCTGCATTCATTGACTTCCTGCAATGTATTTGAGGTCGTCACTCCATCTAATGGGTGGGGGGGGGGGGGGGGGATCGTCCTACATTGCGTTTGCCCGTATGGGGTTGTGTCATTCAAGAACCTTTCTTCCGTATCGGTTGTCGGTTCTTCGATTTTATCATCACTACATAGTATAAAACAAAGTCACATCCCGTCTGTCTGTCCCTATGTATGCTTAGATCTTTAAAACTACGCAACCGATTTTGATGAGGTTTTTTTTTAATAAATAGAGTGATTCAAGAGGAAGGTTAATATGTATAATGCATGCATAATATAGTAGAGAAACACTGATAATTTAATATGTTTCTAATGCGATGAGATGTAACTGTTTTATATACAAATATATAGGCCTTTTATTTCGAATTTTTCATTTTTACTCGGGTTTTATTGTATAGCGTTTCATTTAAGAGTTTCCTCTTGTCGGTGCAAGTAATTCATGCATCTTCTTCCAGCCAGCTCTATCCCAGGCCATATCCTTGACCTCCCTATGACTTACGACATGACACCTAGTGTTTCTTTTATCTGTCCCATGTAGTTATTCCTTGCTTTTTCTCTTCCTCTTTTGCCCTCTATTTTTTCTTCT